AGGAATTTACCACATAATTTATGCTCTTGATAAGAAGCTTTTACACAAATCTGAGGCAGTCTGCTTCTTGAATTAACTCATTATCAGTTAAGCAACATCGTTTTTGGTGGGGGGAGGGCGGAGATTCAGAGTACTCCAACCTTCAAACAGTAAATATCTCAGCCTCCAGCTTTTCAGAGTTCTGGTATGCCCACTTCTGCACATGTTCTGTGTGCAAGCAAAGTAGGATTATAATCTTAGACTGGGAATGGTTTAGAAACAAAAAGTAAGAATCTTGTAGATATTTTATATATTGATGGTGTTTTTCTTATTCTGTTTATTAATTAATAATGTTCAATTAGACATTCTTAAAGGACTAAAAGAAACTCTCACTTATACTAGTTGGTCTTTTAGTTTTATTGCATGCTTCACTGTAAATACATTATTCAGTTAACTCTTCTGTCATCTCTGAAAACCTGCATATCAGAGGACAGTTTTATATGTTCTTGCCTGTTTAATGGCAGTTTCTGAAGGGCTAATAAAGAACAAAGCCACCATGGCCAACCAATTAGTTTTGTTATCTCCATGTATGTACAAGTGGAGAATAAATAGTAGATAGTAAGATGTAATTAGAATATAGAATATAATTAGTTCCAGTAATGTTTAAATAATTATTTTTAAATAATTCCAAGAGATTTCAACTTGGCGATCAGTTAAAATCTAGAAAGTTATATTTCTATCATTACTGAATTATATTTTAGTAATATTCTTTTTATCGCCTCCAAGAAAAATCATCTTTTATTTAAAGTAAATGCTTAAGAGGTATATTACTATTTTTCATTGTTTCTTGAACTGTTTCTTCATTCCAAATGTTTTTGAATATCCTCAACTCCTAAAATGCTGTTGTATTAAACTTCACTTTCTACTTCCTTATCATTCATTAAATAGAGAGTTTGCTTGGTATATTGGTAGTCTTTAAACTTAGATAGATATATTCTACAGTGCATTTTTCTTTTATTGATTGTAAACTTTATAGTGCGAGTTACTATAAAGAGAGGGAATGGGGCATTATCCACGTGTTATTTGTTTCTTTTCTGAAGCATAGTTTATCGGGAGGCGAGGTACCATATTAGCAGAATAAAGGTTTTGGTGTCAAATCCTGACTCCACTTGTTGATTGTATGACTTTCAACAACTTTTCTCCTCCGAGCACAGTTTCTTTATATTTAAAATTAGAGTCAACGTTGTATGAATTACATGCAACAACATACAGTTTTGATTCTTAGAAAACGCTAGTCCTTGTCTCCTTACTAGTCTTTTCTGTCTCTTCCCATCTCACCAAATGGAATGGGCAGCAGATGAAACCCAAAGTGGTTATATTTAGGTAGATGGTCCCAACATTTAAGCCATTTTTTAGTATTTATAAGAAATCTTTAAGCACTATGGCAGTAATCTAGTCATTTATTTTGTATGTCAAAACATATAGTAAAGCATAAGCTGCTTTTGCCGCAGGTAAAAGTATAACATGTCAAATTAGGTTCTCATCTCTTCACACTTTTTCTTTATGAATATCTTATATTTTTATTTTAATAATTTGGGGAACAAATTCGTAGAGCTATATTACCTGCAAAAACATTTATTATAAGTGAAAAATAACATCTTTAGTATTTATAAGAAAATGACAAAATATTTACCAATCAAGATTATAAACTGCTGACATCATGAAAATAAATATTAAAAGTAAATGTCAAAATTCTGATCATGTCTAAAGATCAGAAAGTACTCCCAAGACAATTCACTAGAAATGTCTGTGGGCAATTTATATAATATGTTAGCTATGTGATTTTATTTTTCCCCAACAGGAGAGCCTGATAAAGAGCTGAATCCTAAGAAGAAGATTTGGGAGCAGATCCAGCCTGATCTTTACACTAATGATGAGTGTGTGGCTACATACAAAGGAGCTCCCTTTGAGGTGAAAGGGAAGGGAGTGTGTAGGGCTCAAACTATGACGAACAGTGGAATAAAATAAAATTAGAATGCTTCAGTTACTGAAATACATTGGAAAAAACTTTAATAACAATAAAAAGAAATACATTTGTCACTTATACCTAAAATATAACTGGCTCTTTGTGCGCTTTCTCTTCTAGACTTAACTAGTCTTTTACCTGGTGTATATTATTTTCAGTTGATTAGAAAAACACTACGTTTTTACCTATGATTTTTGATCCTTTAAAATGTAGGGAGGAAATGGCCTATGTTTTGTGATGATTTATTTTTTAGCAAGGATGTTGGTTAGCAGTTTGTTTTTCCTTTATACAGTTTTAGATGAACTTGATTCATATTTAGTTTCTTATTTGTAGGCACATGACACATGAAATTTCAGCCCTTGGGTTTTTAGTATATTGTGTATCTGTGTTATAAATCTCTCTCCCTTTTCAAAAATGATGAGTTGGAATTTTTGTAAGGTTTATCAACTAGTCACATTGTAATAATATTAAAAATGAACAATTTGATTCTTGAGAGCCAAGCATCATAAAATCTAGGAGATGTGGCATTTGAACATTATTGTTATTGCTTGCCAAAATAACCCAGACTTGTATTTTTCAGGCAACTTTTTTGAAAGACTGAAATTTCCAACTGTGTATTGAACTTTACTTTCCATTTAGCGAAGTAATTAGTAATAAATTTTTCGTGACTCTGAAGCATAAACACATTGCAAAGTGTTGCCAGTGGAGCTTCCAATAAATGGACCATAAAAGCAGCAGTCTGTTTTTTCATTCTAGCTTACTTTAAAGATTGTGGGGTACCTAATAACAGATTATTCATAGCTTATCTTTAGAAGAGCATTTAAAATTTATATATTTTGCTTTTTCATGTACCATCATACTGTCAATATATTTTAAGAAATGGTAGCTAAAAACTTATACACTAAGATGTCCAAAGTCTGTTTTCACTCATCTTCCAGATATTCTAGTAACAATGAAAATTAACTTAAGAATTATTAGCCTCAAGTTCATGACGACTCATAATTTAAGTACCAAAAAGAAATGCATCTGCGGAGATAGGAGTATAGATATTTTTTGAAAGAAAAATCTCACAAGGGTGTAGCACTGTAGCTATTTAGGCTTCAATAAGAAGGAGAGACAAAACAAAAAAATTTGAAACAACCCTGCATACCAACTTATTAAAGGTAAGTTAATTTTTTTAAGTCCATGGAATTCTAGTAGGCTGGGACATGATACTATAAAAGAATTTTATCTTCTTTCTGAAAAACTGTATATTAACAGAGCATTGTTAACATATATTGATAACTAAACACAAATGAATTTCCAAAGTTATTTTGTACTCAAAATCCATTATTCTTTTGGGAATAAAGACTCTGTGGGAAAGTCTTTTGTTATTCTATATTTTCTAATTTTTCCAAATTATATAAAATTTCTTTAAATAATTCTAATATAATTAAAAGACTATATCAACTTCTTAGGTAGTTGAAATATTTATTACCAATTCTTCAAGTTATATAAAAGCATTTCTCAATTAAGTTATCAATTTAGCTCCCTTAAGTTGTTATTTTTTAAGAAAACTTAATTCTGTCTTATCTGTATTATCAGGATGAGAGAGCTCTTATGGAATCAACAACAACAAAACATGGCTTTGTTAGTGAACCTGACCAAACTCTGCTGGCTTTTGAAGTATAGTCAGCTCTTTAAGGATTTTAACAGTAGGAGATAGTGTGAGATGACAGGCTAAACAGTTGGTGCCTCTTGACATCTATTTATATATTGCAAACTAAAGCAGAACAAAGAGCTGATCCTCCCCCAATATACTTTCTCATCAAGGTTGGCCCACCATCATACGTGAATATTGGGAGTACTAACTTTTCTTATATTTAGAAATTCTGTATATTCTTTTGAGATGACTCATTTTCAGGACATGTTGATTTTAATATCAGCAATTTTTTCCTTTCTTTGCTTTTGCTAAGAACATTAAGTACTCTAGAGTTACAAGAATTAAGTCTCCATAAAACAGATATTCTTGTTGCTTTTTGAAATTATGTAAATTATCATTTAGACTATTTACAAAATATTCAAAGTAACTCATGGAAGTTTGACAAGAAGTATGTCAGCAGATAGAAGATGTGGGTAAGTCCTCATAGAGTAATATTACTTAGTTTAACCAAGTCCTAGTGTCTGGGCCTTAGCTTTGCAGGTCCAGAAACCTGCATTTGTAGTTAAGAAATCCGTGGAGCCCAGCAGTATGGGACTTGAGGCCAGATTCCCTAGGGCTGATTCCTGGCCCTACAACTTAACTGCCTGTGCAACCTTGGACCACTGTTCAGCCTCTGTACAACTGACTTCCCTCTGTAAGATGAGTGTAACAGTACTCACCTTGCAGAGTTGTGAAGAATGCCTGAGTCAGTGCCCTAGAGTACTTAAAACAATGCCAGGAATATAAGAGTTGTATATTATGTTGATATGAGTCTATGATAGGATGTTTCTTTCCAAAAACTAATGTTCTTACCTCTCCCGTACCCTTTCCTGCTATCACATTGCCTGAGAATTTGAATTCTTGTTGAGGAGATTACTTGGTTTATATGAACTAAACAGAGTATCTTAGAGAATATTTCATATAGGCTGTGACCCTGTCTTTTAACAGACTCGATTGTTCCTCTATACCAGATGTAGTATCTCTTCCCTCGCTGGAGATGCTCATTGCTGAAACTTTCTCTCTCCTTCATTACTGAAACTTCCTGCACTCCCATGACAACCCATTTTTTAGATATTCAGGTGCTGGTCAGCCCTGTTCATTAATGCCCTTTCAGTGGTTTAGCATTATTGATAAAGTTTCAAATAGTTTTGTAATTTTTTTTTTTAGACTAGAAAGACTTTTTAACTATTGTGTTAGTTTAGCATAAATAGAAGCGATCATATTTTCAGATTCCTGGTGGGTGAGGGAGCACCTCACTCTTGCTTATAACAGGGACATTAAAGGGGCATGAGTATACTTCCTCAATTTTCCGGAGAAATTATTTGTTCTACCTTTAAAAATATACAAATATCAGAACTTCACAATATTAGCTGTGTACTTTACCCACATATATTGTAATACAAGTCCTGGTTTGAAGTGCTGTGCAGTCGTGTGAAAACTAAAACTTTATCTCCCAGGGACAAAATAAAAACTAGGGAGGCAAATTAATGTAACTCAACTAACAATATTGCAAATTGCTGTATTGTGGAGAAAATTTTGCCCTTCAAAATTTTAGTCAAAGAATAACTATTCCCTCTCTAACAAAAGTTAGGGAGATGTATTAGTATCAGTTTATTGTCATGAATTTTATTATAGAATTAAGATATTTGATGCTTTATAGCTAACAAAGTATTTTCACACACCTTACTAATTAATTTCTTAACTCTCTGGAAGTAGACCAGCCATTTTACTCCAAAGAATCAACAGAAAAGTTAAATAAATGTCAGTGCTAAAATATAACTAGCTGAAACCTAGATCCTCCAATTCATAACTAATTCTGTGCTCTTCTCCATTACATTTTGTTCCATATAAGTTAAAGAGTCACTTGGTTTATTTTATTTGAGAAGTTAAACTTTTGTTTAAACTGTAGAGAAAGACAATGATTAAAAAAAAAAAAAATCCTAAGCTCTAGTAATTCATGTAAGGAAATTAGGGAGCTCCTTTAGTGGAGTATTTAAGAGATTCTAAGGGGAGCCATGAGATCATTACACACTTCTTTGGAGTGGTTACAAAGGGAATTTACCAAGTTTTTTACTTTTTGCCACTGAAGTTCTTAGGAAGAATTATTTGGCAAACCCAGGCTGTTGCTGCTGTTGCTGTCAGCAGTTGCCTTTCTGAAGAGCCACGTGCCTTGATTCTTTGAGTAGTGCAGTTATTGAGGGCATCGTTTCTGTAATGACAGTTCATCCCAAGAGCCAACCTATAAAGGAAGTCACAAAATTCCAGATGGGAGGGAGGGGGAGAGAGAAGAAGAGAGAGAGAGAGAGAGAGGATAGATGATTGATAGATAATGATAGATGATAGAAAGATGATAGATGATAGATAGATATAGGTAGATATAATTTTAACCAGGAACAACTCTTTACAGTTAATACCCCATTTGTAGTACTACTTGGATGATAACCATAAAATTTGGAATAATGAAAATGTTAGTTGCTGATGGCTAATATGCCTCTATACAGAATTGGATCTTTAAATAGGAACTTGTTGGAATGGAAAAGAGTTATTCACTTATACATTCTTGCATATCATATTTTTTACAGTTATGGTTTTTCTTTAGATAAGTCTTAACAAATAATTTATAGGAGTATAACTCCAAAAAACAATTGGAGAAAGGACGCAGAACAGTGAAATAATTGTTGGTTTCTAAGTGACCCATCTGGAATTTCAGTGTGAATTAATTATTGAATATTATGTATTTTCACCCTTGTGTATTCCTGTTGTTTTGTTTTTTTTTTTTTTCCTTCTGCCTTACTTCCCCCCACCCCTCCCCAAGGCACACTATACCCAGTTCTCTAAATTTTTTAGTAAAATATGGTGTGCTATTTTATATCTGTCATTTCCTATCAGGCCATTATCCTTAGCAACAGCAGTAGAAACAAGCCTGGGGCTCAATAATTGCCAAAGGAAAAAAATAATAATCCACTCTAATGAAGGGACAAACTCCTCTTCTTGCCTTTCCCATTGTAATGTAATACCTACTGAATTTTCAAATAGCAGTTATTAATGTCTGCTCATTTCCACAGTGACATTTATGTGATGACCCTTCATTACCAAGGCTGCTCTGACAAAGTTTTACATGTTTTTGTAAATTGCTTCATTAGAATATCATATCTCACTACAAAAATGCTTTCAGTATGTGCATCCACTTAACCTTTCAGCCCTAAGATTACATATTTGGCTAATTCTTGTTAATTTAAAACCTACTCAACTTTTCACACCTGGGGAATTTGGAAAGAACAGTGCATGAGTCAACCAAAACCACAATTTGATTTCTCTTTGAAAAAAAGTAATGAGAAAGGCAAACTAAAAGTCACTTTCAATAAGTTTAGTTTTTTTTCATAGCCTTCAGCTTTTTTTATATGAAAA